TACCATCTGGGAGGCCTGAGGGCTGGTTTCCTGAAGAAGGAACTCAGATAAGACAAATATAATTTTATCAAGTTTTAAGACTGGGAGACTCAATTTCTATGTTTATTCAAAAAAGAAAAAAACCCATAAACATCAGTTCTATGGGACAACTGGACAGGTTTCAACAGGTCCGTGTCTCAAGTGAAAATGGGATGTTTTTCCTACTTCCTTGTTTCCTTCTTTTCCTCCTTTGCTGTCCCTACTTCTTAGTCACTGCCTGCTAGAACTCAGTCCCCACATTCTATTCCAGATGACTACTTCTACCTGAATTGAGGGTCCACAATTGACAACTGTCAGGAACCCTAATTCTCCTAACAGTAGACCCTACTTAGTTTTGGTTTTACTTTCAGCATTCAAGTCCTGTCCCTGAACCGCAGACCCGTAGCAGATGTTCTGTTACTTCCGGGCAGACTTTCCTAATACCCACCATATGACTACCTGGCTGCAGATCCACATATCACCTTGTTGCCAGACATGTCTGTATTCATGCTGTGCCCATCTGCTGAGACACCCAGAAGGGAAGCAGGCTGTCGGTAACACGAGCAGTGATCTGGGAGTCAAACCCAGGTGTTAATTCTAATACAACAGTTTACTAACCGTAGAAATTTTCTAAAATCTCTTAGAGCTTTGGTTTTCTAAAGTGGTGATGATGGTGATAATACCTCCCTCCAAGCTCTGTAATAAATGAACATGATGTAGGCGTTCCGATGTAACTAATGTTATCATGTTTATTTATAATTGCTGGACCTCCCTAATCAAAGCCAAAAGCTGCCACTTATCACGAGGTACATTGGATTCTGTGACCTCACTGTCCTTTTTCTTCCTAAACCTCTGCTGCATGCTATTAAGCGTGCCCATTTATGGTTCTTGTCCCCTGTCTTTGAATATGTACGTGAGCTTTAGGCCAGGATTCAATAGCCTCGCTACTGAGTTAACCAAGAAACAAAAGACTATTGAGCAGGAAAGGGTGGGTGTACACAGAGAGAGGTAGATGCTTAGAGGTATTCTTGGAATGCTAAAAAGGTAGAGCAATCGCTGAGGGTAAAGCTAAATGGGGGGTTGAGAAGGAGAAAATAGCAGGGAGTGGGAAGCGAGAACAAAGCAACTCTTATCCTCAATTATCCCGGCAGTTCTGGGCTTGGCTACATTAGCAAGATCCTTGTTTAGATCCTCATTTTGCTTTGGCTATAGAGGCCTCTTCTGGTGGGATTTCAGGGAATTTTATAACCCATCGTCCCACCCCTCTCTCCTGTGGTTTTAACTGATGTGGAGGAAGGGAACTATGTAGTGAAATTAGGTTCTTTCGCTATAACACAGCTGCTTTTCTTCATAGAGATTTACTTTTGACAAGTAATTTATATTGCATTCAATTACTATGGCATACTACTGGGCGCCAGGGGAGGAAGGAATTGGAGACAAGATTGCTTGGGAGTGTTTTAATGTAGTTTGTTGTAACAGGTGGCCTGAAGAACTGCTGATTTGAAGCTATGCCACAGCTGTGCTTAGCTGGCTTGACTGATGCAGAAGCCTAACTGAGCCTGGACCGGGGTCAACCCAGGTGCACCCAGTGAACAGCTGTCTCTTTTTTTAATTAGGGGAAGGAAGTGAGCACAGATTTGAAAAATAATATTATAAGAACCAGGGTGCAAAGGGATGATTTACTTCCACTTCATTTTATTATTTGTTATAAATGGTTTATAAAAACACACTGAGTGAATTTAATAATGTCTCTTTGCAGGATTTTCCCCAGTGTCGCTGACTAGTGCTTCTCATACTTTAATGTGCATACAAGTCACCTGGGGATCTTGTTAAAATGCAGCTTCTGATTCAGTAGGTTTGGAGTGAGCCAAAGATTCTGCATTTCTAACAAGCTCCAGGTAACACCAGGTCTGCTGTTTCAGGAGGACACTCTGAGTAGAAGACTGTCAACTACACAGCACTTCAGAATACTAGATTTGTAAAAAAAAAAACACAGTTACACTGTCAAATGTTAGAAATGGTCTCTTAGTAGGGGATGAACGTAAACTACATACTGATGAGGTCTTAAAGGAAATTGAATTACTAAAAAAGTCATTAATATTAATTATTTTAAATTGCTCATTTGACCTCTTAGATTCTGATCACACACCACAGGCTTAAAAGTACTCTTTACAATTATATCAGAAATAGTTCAATGTATGAATATTTCAATCTCTGAGAAATTTAACTATAGCTTCTTATTACTGTGACCACACAACCAAGGAACCAAGAGATTCTTTAAATTACTGAGTTCAGCAATTCATTTACTTGCAAATTTTAGAAAGGCTTTTTCCTTCTCTTTGGCAAGTATTTAATTCAGAGGCATCATAAGTCAGGGGAAATTAAGGCAAATGGTACATTTTTTGCATTGCACGGCAAAAACAGTATGCTGAGAAAGGGTGCAAAGAAAGATGATTCATCACATGTGCCATAGCTCATAGAAAAGGGATATTTGGGAATATTAAATTGATGTGTTTTCAGTCTTCTCCCTGCCCCCTAGTAGCAATTCCACCATCATCGCTTTGGAAAAAGAAGAAAAGGGGAAAGGCCTATGAGGAAGCAGCAGGTTCCCATGAGATGGGAGAAGGAGCATGTGAGCTTGGCACTGCAGCAGTAGGAAGATGGCAGGAGGAAGAAAAAGAAGACATCACCCTGTCCTCCCTTCGACTAATGCAGGCAACAAGGTAAAGAGATTGGGATTCAAGCCAAAAGTTGGTGTCCTCTGACCCCATTTCTGTCTGAGATAGTGAGGTGATGATTTAGAAGCTTTCCTCACCTCAGCACCGGAGTGACCACTGCAGAATGAGAGAGGTGGTGCATCACTGTCGGTTAGAGATGGAAGGCCCGGGCCTTACTGGAGTCTTTCTGGAGGTGGCTTCAGCTCCCGAAAGCATGGACAATAGTTTCATGTTTCCACATGCATTGTGGAGCAATGCAGAAGGGAGGATAGTGCTGGCTGGCAAGGGAGGTATCTGCTATGAAAGTCAAATGGCACAGACACTGGAAGGTGCTGGAATGACCAGAGTTGGGTATCAGATCAGTTGCAAGCAGATTTCAGGGAGGTCCACAAGCCCATCAAAGGTAAGCTGAGGTTGAGTCTTCAGGGAGGTCCTCTGGGTTATAATTGAGGCATGAGTAAAGAGACCTCCAGTTGACCTGAGCAGACAGGTAGAATGAGGGAAACTGCCACCACAAGAAGAGGAGGCAGTGCCAGGACCTGCTCATGGCTCCTGGAGCCCCCATCATTATTCCCCAGAACCATCAGGCCAAATCATTTATACCTCCATACATCTCAACATCGTATGGGAAGAAAATATGAGTGAGGAAGTAACAATCTGAAATATTAGGACCTGATCTAAAAGAAACTGATTTACTTTAAGAGACCATATAAATTATTGAATTAGAATGACTAAATTTAGATATTTTATTCCCCCCTCTCACTAATTAGACAGAAGGGGTTTCTCAAAGGAGATAAAATCTTCTGTAGAAAATAGAGCTACAAGCCCTTTGCACAGCTTAATATAGTATGAGTTTAATTGGAAACCCTGATTCTCCAATAACAAATCATTATATTTCAGTCAGTCAGCTACCTCATTCTAAGCTGGAAACACCAAGGTTTTGCCTCCACTGTCTGCCATCACTCCTCCCCAGCTCTGCCCATCTGTGGGCTAAGTGCCTCTTGGGGCCTTGGCTCACTCATCATTAGGAACACATATCACCTCAAGCCTGGCACCCTGGGATGGTTTTCTGCAGCCTGTGCTCAGCCATTCTGAAGCTACTATTGGATTTGTTCTGGCTTTGAAAATTTGTGTGGACTAAATTTCTTGAGTCTGTTCAGGGAACAGAGTCAAGAAAGCACGAGCTTCAGAAAGATACTTGGTGTTGGAGTCTGCTGCAGGCATCTATCACCTATCTGGCCATGAGCAAGCACTTTTCTATTCAAGCCTTCTTCTGTAAAGTAGAATTAACAGTACTTACTTTTGAGGCTACTGTATGGGTTAGCAATACTATATATGAGTTGATGAACATATTGATGAAGCTCAATAAATCAAGGCCATGTTATATTATTCTAGTTCCTTTTAACATGCCCAGTGCCCTGTAATTGCTTATTCACCTGCAACCATGGACCTCTGCTAAGGACCTCTGATCCTCCCCTACAGAGAGAGCCTATTCTATGTATTCCCAGCTGCCCACAGACATTCTTACTTCCTGAACAGGTGTCATGGATGCTCTGCCTTGACACTCAGACCTCCCTTCAGAACAGAAGGATGCATGTCTGGCTACTGGCAGACACTCTCAGCCCTCTCTGAGAATCCCCTCAGCCAAAGTCACAACCCCTTTCCCAGGGGCAGCCTGTATCCGAAGACTGATGGATACAGAAGAATACAGGCCAGTCCCATTGGCCCAAAGCAGGGAAATGCTGAGAGGTCATCCCAGTCTCAGAGCCCCCCATAGCCCTGGCTGAGGGAAGCTTTGGGGGGCTCAGCCCAGTCCTGCTTCCTTGCTTTTTCCTGTCGATGTTGTGATGGTTAATTTTATGTGTCAACCTGACTGGGCTAAGGGATGCCCAGATAACAGGTAAAACATTATTTCTATTTCTCTAGAAAACCCTGAGTAATACAGACTTTGATCCTAAGAGCTCACCCTCACAAATATCCTGCATGCTGATCTCTGGCTCAGAGTCAGCTTCCTGGGGAACCTACTTGGTGAAAATAGGTCACCACATTCCACACTCAAAACCACTGACTTAGCTATTATTGTTAACGCTGTGCAGATAGCCACACAGAATGTGTAAATGAACATTCATAACCCTCTTGGTCACTGTTTTTGGACCATCACTGTGGGTCATAGACAGTGTACTCCTCTTATTCTGGTCCTTATTTCCTAAGGGTCCTCCTCCACCTCCTACCAGCCAAACACATCCCAGAGAGGCCACTACTTACCCAGGAGCTTTAGTGTACTCATAACACTGTAGTGTTGGCTAACAGACACAGCCTTTACCCTTCCTTTGATCCAGAATGAGAATCTGCAACGGCCACAAGGTTTTTACATCATTCTCTCCACCCTATGCGAATAAACAATATCCATAGGAAATTGTCAATTTCTCTGCACAGACTAAGCACCTGCTTGTATTATTACCCTGCTATATACAAATGAACCATTTGAGGAAATGAGTAGAACAAATATGCTCTAGAAACTGCAGTACAAGCAGTACCCAATTTGCAGACAGGTTGTGTTCCCTGAGTTGATTTCCAAATTAGCTATTTGGAAATCAGAATGCATTATCCCAAGAAGCAGTGTTATAAATGATGGCCAGCTTCACAAGTGTCATCCATAAAGCCCTGGTAAACTAGCAACATAAAATGACACTGTCTTTAATAACGGGCTGTTCTTTATGGGGTAAATGCCCTTCACAGGGCATAAGAAGGAAATTATTTGGCCCCAGGAACATGTGTCTCTCTCGCTCTTAGTTGTCCTCTCCTCTCTACCAGACATTTGTTGTAATCATTCATTTTCAAGATGGAAGCAGAGTAAGACAACCTGGCCCTTCTCCCCACTGTCCTCCAGAACTTGGACATTAATATAATGTAGAGTTAGTGTCTTCTGGCTTCTAGAGGATAATAAGCCAAATAAAGAGGCTCCAAGATGCATGATGCACAGGAGTACCTTCTCTGGCACAGCATTGTACATTTGTAGTTTGAGGATACCAGTATAAATACAGAAGAGTAAATCCCAAAGGAACATTTTTATTTCCTATGCATAAGCCTAACAAAAAATGGCTGAAGTCAGAAAATGTAACCTCTGGTTTTGTTATATCACCCAAAAATTCTACCTTGTCACACGTATTCAAAGAATTTCCTTCTAAAATGATACTTTTACAAAACTTCCTAAAGCCAAATATGCATATCTGCAGTTCAATGCAGCATTTTCAAAATGTAATCCCTTGACCAGCACCATCAGCATCACATGCAAACTTGTTAGAAGGGCTAATTTTAGAAACCATCCCACACCTACTGAATAAAAACTCTGGGATTGGAACCTAGAAATCTGTTTCAACAAGCTCTCTAGGTTATTCTCACTAAAGTTTGAGAACCACTGAAATAATGATTTTAATAATTTATTTTTTAAAAAGAAATGACAAGAAACACTACCAATCTAACTGTCCCCTTCTACATATAGCATAAAACATTACTTTTATGGGATATCCAGCAAATCAACTCAAAAAAAGTGTATTCTATGCTTCTATGTGCAGGCTACTGTTTGTCTGCTAAAGAAGATTAAAAAGCGAATAGATTAAATAGTGAACAGAATGCAAATCAAAGATTTGAAACCTTATGGCATTAAAGGGAGGGATGGCAACAAGGATATGCCTAATACCAGGGAGATTATTTGTAGTTTTATTAAAAATATACAAATAAAATGCTATGGGGAAAACATAAAGCAAAACACAAATAATTTTAGAGAAAGAGGTCAGATAAAAGTTTTGAGGCAACATCACGGTCAGGCCTTGAAAGACTGGTATACATTTTAACAATGACCAGTGTGGCAGGGGGAAGCCCATGGAACTGGTGGAGGGCAGTATTTCCCCAAAAAAGGGGACAACACAAATGAAAGCCAAAGGGTATGTAAGCATGGTACAAAGCTGCCTCCAAGTTGTGTCTTAAATACGTTATCGCTGTGATTACATAACTTCTCCTCAACTTCTGGGGCAGCCGGGTGAAGAATGAAGCAGCCAGAAACCCTATGTCTATTATCCCTATCATAAGCAGTTGTGCGCAGTTACCCCAGTGTGACTTACTATGTCATTCCTATACATACTATGATACCACGGACCTCATTTCAGGTACCAAGACAAATGCACAGAATTTAGAGTAGACACTGAGTAGATAAGGCAAAGAGATGAGAGGATCTTGGATGTCATACCGAGTAGACTCCCTATTTAGAAGGCAATATTGTGTTTGAGGCAGAAAAAAAGGCACGATTTGCCTTGGGTTATAAAATTATTATAATACAACATGTAGATTGGTTTAGAGTGAAAACAGATGAACTCAGCCAAATTGGTTAGGATGTTATCAAATTAGGACAGACAGGAAATATTAAGAGCCCAAATTACTGAGGAGCAGAAAAAGAAAGGATAGAGTTATAGGACAATCAGTTTTAATTCACTAATATCTGATTTCCTATGATATACAAGACACATATTGTCACTTTGGAGAAAACAAAAATTGCAAAGGTTGCCCTTCATTTTAAATAAATTAAAATCTGTTATGCAGAAGTATAAGACCACTATAAAAATTTAATAAGTGGTAAATTCATTGTAATTAGGGAAGCATAAAGCATTATAGAGGTATAAATGAATAAAGATAACCGACGTGAGTCTCAATCATTTTAGAAGGTTTATTTGCCAAAGATAAATATGAGTTTCCAGGAGGCAGGTCTACACCTTTCTCCAAAGATGACTGTGAGGGTTTCAATACTGAAAGGGGGCAAGAGGGCAAGATGACCGAATAGGAACAGCTACAGTCTGCAGCTCCCAGAGAGACCAACACAGAAGGCAAGTGATTTCTACATTTCCAACTGAGGTACCCAGTTCATCTCACTGGGACTGGTTGCGCAGTGGGAGCAGCCCACAGAGGGTGAGCAGAGGCAAGGTGAGGCATTGCCTCACCCAGGAAATGCAAGAAGCCGGAGTCCTCACTTGCCAAGTCAAGGGAAGCCATGAAAGACTGTGCTACAAGGCCCAGATACTATGCTTTTCCCATGATTTCTGCAATCCGCAGATCAGGAGATTCCCTTGTGTGCTTACACCACCAGAGCCCTGGGTTTCAAGCACAAAACAGGGTGGCTGTTTGGGCAGACACTGAGCTAGTTGCAGGAGTTTTTTCGTACCGCAGTGGCGCCTGGAACCCCAGAGAGACAGAACCGTTCACTCCCCTGGAAAGGGGGCTGAAGCCAGGGAGCTAAGTGGTCTTGCTCAGCAGGTCCCACGCCCATGGAGCCCAGCAAGTTAAGAACCACTAGCTTGAAATTCTCACTGCCAGCACAGCAGTCTGAAGTCAACCTGGGATGATCAAGCTAGGTGGCGGGAGGGACATCCACCATTACTGAGGCTTTAGTAGGTGGTTTTCCTCTGACAGTGCTAAAAAGTCTGGGAGGTTTGGCATGGGTGGAATTCACCACGGTGCGGCAAAGCAGCTATGGCCACCAGACTGCTTCTCTTAGATTCCTCCTCACTGGGTAGGGCATCTCTGAAGGAAAGGTAACAGCCCCAGTCAGGGGCTTACAGAAACTCCCATCACCCTGGGACAGAGCACTGGGGGAAAGGGGTGGCTGTGGGCACAGCTTCAGCTGACTTAAAACTTTTGTGGGGAAAAGAAAGATCAAACTGTTACTGTGTCTATATAGAAAGAAGTAGACATAAGAGACTCCATTTTGTTCTGTATTTGAGATGCTGTTAATCTGTGACCCTACCGCCAACCTTGTCCTTGAAAGATACATGTGCTGTTGTGACTCAAGATTTAAAGGATTTTGGGCTGTGCAGGGTATGCTTTGTTAAACAAGTGCCTGAAGGCAGTATGCTTGTGAAAAGTCATCACCATTCTCTTAATCTCAAGTCCCCAGGGACACATAACACTGCCAAAGGTCGCAGGGACCTCTGCCAAGGAAAGCTAGGTATTGTCCAAGGTTTCTCCCCATGAGATAGTCTAAAATATGGCCTCGTGGGAAGGGAAAGACCTGATTGTCCCCCAGCCTGACATCTGTGAAGGGTCTGTGCTGAAGAGGACTAGTATAAGAGGAAAGAAGGCCTCTTGGCAGTTGAGATAGAGAAAAGCATCTGTCTCCTACCCATCCCTGGGCAGTGGAACATCTTGGTGTAAAACCGGATTGTATGTTCTGTTTACTGAGAAAGGAGAAAACCGCCTTAGGGCTGAAGGTGGGACTTGCTAGTGCAATGCTGCTCTTTATGCACTAAAAAGGTGTATGGAGATGTTTGCATATGCACATCAAGGCACAGCACTTTTCCTGAAACTTATGTCACAGAGATCTTTATTCATATGTCTTACTGCTGACCTTCTCCCTATGATGATCCTATTATCCTGCCACTTCCCTTTTTCTAAGATGGTAAAGATAATAATCAATAAATACTGAGGGAACTCAGAGACTGGTGCCAGTGTGGGTCCTCTGTATGCTGAGCGCCGGTCCCCTGGGCCCACTTTTTCTTTCTCTATACTTTGTCTCTATGTCTCATTTCTTTTCTCAAGTCTCTCGTTCCACCTAATGAGAAACGCCCACAGATGTGGAGGGGCGGGCCATCCCTTCAACTTTCCTGCCTGCTGGCTTTGAAGAGAGCAGCTGATCTAGACAAGGAAGATTCTCCCATCACAGCACTCGAGCTCTGCTAAGGGACAGACTGCCTCCTCAAGTGGGTACCTGACCCCCGTGCCTCCTGATTTGGAGAAACCTCACCTCATACAGGAGATATCTGGCTGGCATCAGGCCAGTGCCCCTCTGGGACAAAGCTTCCAGAGGAAAGAGCAGGTAGCAATTTTTGCTGTTCTGCAGCCTCCACTAGTGATACTCAGGTGAACAAGATCTGGAGTGGACCTGCAGAAGAGCGGCCTGATTGTTAGAAGAAAAACTAACAGAAAGCAACAATATCAACATCAACAAAAAGGACCCTCACACAAAAACCCCATCCAAGGGTCATCAGCCTCAAAAATCAAAGGTAGATAAATCCATGAAGATGAGGAAAAGCCAGCACAAAAATGCTGAAAATTCCAAAAACCAGAATTCCTTTTCTCCTCCAAAGGATCACAACTCCTCTCCGGCAAAGGAACAAAACCGGATGGGGAATGAGTTTGATGAACTGACAGAAAAAGTAGGCTTCAGAAGGTGGATAATAACAAACTCCTCTGAGCTAACGGAGCATATTCTAACCCAATGCAAGGAAGCAAATAACACTAATAAAAGGTTACAGGAACTGCTAACTAGAATAAGCAGTTTAGAAAAGAACATAAATGACCTGATGGAACTGAAAAACACAGCAGGAGAACTTCGTGAAGC